AAAAGGCTCGACGGCAGACTGAACCGCAAATGTGGGAATGTTGCCACATGAAGAGGGTTAAATTATGGCCGGCGAGGGGTGGTAGGGGGTTAACCACATGCCGATCATGGGGCGTGCAAAATCAATTTTAAAGCGTATTTAATAAAAGCGCATTTATGCGATTTCTGCGGCAATTAAGTGCTGCAAATTGCAGCCAACGGGCTGATACTGCTTCGCCTGCTCCATTGACGCCACAAAATTGCTGATTCTGCCCCTTCGTTTAACCCATTAAGTTGAGCTTAAGGAGTGGAGAAATGCAACGTCTGATTAACTATTTAATCGGAAGGAAGTCTTAATAAGTTATCTTATGGGGTTTTCTTCGTTGAAAGTAGAAAATGCAATCTTGTTTTCACGATAAGTCTTATGATAAATTCTAGAGGAATCCATTTTGATTTCAAAGTCATTTAAATTCAACAATCGGTTAACAAATTAATGGAAACAACTAATTAAATTATTTAAATTTGTATGTATTTATATTTTTCATGATTCTTTTGGGATTAAAACGAAATCCATCAAAAATTATATAAAGAAACATTTTTTATTGATTGCAAAGACTTTCTCTTATTCATGAATTTATTTGAACTTTCAAAGTGCATAATGATAAAAAATTATGTCAAGTAATTAATATGTTTTAAACTAAGTTAATTAATGGGTTAAGGGCACGTGCTTCTTTTCTACCATTGGTAATCAATGGTTAAACTTGTCTGTCGCCGTAATTAAGCTGATGTGAAAATCTTTGACTTGGTGCAAACACAGCGAGCTGGCAATTAAATGTTCCACCCGCCGGCAACAAGAAGAGCCAGCCGCTGACTTAATGCCGCTGCACCGCTGATAACATCACATCAACGTTACTGCACCACCCACACCCCATTCCACCCCACTCCTGGATCAATGTCATCGACTGCAGCGACAGATTTATGACAATCCAAGGGACTTTCACCCATCTGGATCTCATGCTCACCTGACAGCTGATGGCCCGTTTTGGAGACCCGAAACTTTGAAATCAACATTTCAATTTGTTGGCGGCCGACGATGCTCTGGCAATTTGGTGTGAAAAACTTGTAGCTATTTTTAAGTCATCAACAGCAGAAGCAACAGCAGCAACAGAAGCAGAAGCAACATCAGGAACAGCAACAACTGGAGTTGCCGGCAACTTTTATTGCCCATGTGCTGGGCATGTCTTCGTGCCAATTGCGTCATGGCAGGCGAAATGTGTCAAGTGAGCGGTGACTGATGTGGCGAGTAACAAGAAGTAGTCGTACACTGAACGGAAATAGTACTAAAGAAATGTTTTAAAAATAGAACCATATTTTTACTTTAAAAATTAAGCTGCTTGTAACTGCTTGTAAATCGTTAAGCTTATAGTAACTTAAAACCTTTTAGTTCCTCCTTTAGTTTAGCCTTTAAAGACTGAACATGACTGTCATAGCTAAATGGTCGGTTCATTGACTTGATTGCTGGGATCAATCACAGTAATTGACCCGAAGGAAGGCTCTAATAATTCGCTTATTACTAATCATTTCATATTGATATGCATTTGTTTTGAGGTTGGCCTAAAATTAACCACAAAATCGATTAAAACAGATAGAGGTGTCTTCACAGCAAAAGGAATAATTTCCATTACCTGCAACCAATGAGGATTAGGACCTTTAAAACCAATTATATTTAATTGTATTTTGTGGGTAGAAAGGGTAGTTGATTAATCTTCCGTTGAATTGGTGAATAAATAGGTTGGATTCCAAATTACTGTATTTAAAACTTAAAGCAGCTAAATCGAAGTTAGGAAAATCCTATATCTTCTTACCATTAAGTTGCTACTTTATTGTTAAGCTGAGTAAACTGTAATTTGCAGTGCATCTGGATATATGTCGCGCATTTGCCACCAACTTTCTTTCAGTGCCCTCCCTTTCTTCCTTGTCCTTCATTCAAATTGTGTTACATGCGGAAAGTGTGCATAAAAATGTTCCATTCAAGCACTGGAATTAAAAGTAACGAGAGAGCCGCGGTGGCAGGAGTGAGAATGTAAAGGAGCCCAGAAGCAGGCACTTGAAATGGCGTTGGCTTTATTCCGGCAATTGTCTGAGACAGTTAACCCCACACAAGCACACACACACACACACTCTGATATATATGGAGAGTGTATACATGGCCCAACTCTTGAGCCGCTGTCATTGTCAATGTCTCCAGACAAATGCGCCTGAGATGGCTGAAATGGCGTAACAAGCCAGTGAGTTTGAGTGCCCAGCCCATCCTATACTATAGCATACCGAAAAAGTCGGAAAATGCGGCTGGAGGTGGTTGGAACAATCAGTTTCGTGGAAAGTGGGTGGCTGGCCTGGGCTTTTCCCACGCAAATTCGCTGCACGCGCAATGCTAATCTGCTTTTAATTAAAACCAACTCGCAATGGCAAAATGTCTAAGAGGCTTCCTGCCTTCAGTTAGCTAATTGTCTTTTGTCATTTGTCTTCTTGGCCAAAATATGCCAGCGACAAGCTACAGTTACAGTTACAGTTACAGTTACAGTTACAGTTACATATGTGGAAATTCACTTGGCCCCCAAATGACAATTACAATACAAATGTTTTTCGGCCTGACAATGAGTGCTTTCGTTGGGGCTGCAAAGGTTAAACTCAAAAAGTGTATCAAAGCTAATTAAAATGAATAGAATTAAATACGTTGACAAAGGAGAAGCGGAAAATTAGACGAAGGAAAAGATTTTCTTCGTTTCGGTTTCTTTTTTTTTTACCTTTTTGTGGAAAATAAATGGAGGAGACATTCATTCTCTTAAGGAAGGAAAATGCTGTCCTTTAATTTGGTAATTTATTATTCTCAAACAAATAGGATCGCATTTTGACATACAATTTATTACACAATTAATGGTCAATAAAAAGCAATTAAAATTATTATAATTAAATACACTGGCAATGACAGAAATTATAAAAGGTGACCGCAATTATTTTATGGCCCCTTTTTAACTTTTAATTTAAATATCAAAAATAAATTGCAAAATTTGATACCCTTTCCATATATCCTTAAAATTATGATAAATGGCCAAAAATTAGGCAAAATCAATCAAAAGTAAAAGCAGATGGAACAAAAAAAGACAAAAGCAACACAAGGATATAAAATATGTCAAACACAATTAATTATAAAATTCATAAAACAAAGCCACAGGCATATAAAAAAAACAATACAGGCCATAAAAGCGTCAGAGTGGGGAAAAATGCATGAAAAATGCGACAGACAAAATTATCATTCATAATAATTTGTACAAACAAACAGGGAAAAGCTGGAGGGGGAAAAGCTGGAGGGAAATGTTTGCAACAGTAGCTAGCCTAGGTAAACAAAAGAACTGTAGTGGGGTGTTGGGGGTTGGAAACACGATGGGGCAATAGAATGTTTCACTCCGAGCCAACAATTACAAAAAATGATGTTTTATTTAAAATACCAGACAGCCAACAGAAGTATGATAGAGGGGGATCTGAGAAGGGCGGGCGGCGGCCGCTGAGGCAACAGACACGGGGAATAAAAATAACAATGCAACAGCAGTGATAATGTTGCCGGCAACACATGTTTACAGCAGCAGTCAGAACCGCAGATACAACAACAACAACAACAACGGCTGGCTGCAGACTTAAAATCTCCCTCTTCCCCTTAAAAAAAATTGTCAGACGCCTGTGCACACATTTTAATCAATAAACAAACGTGAAAATATGACAAACAAATTAATAAAATGCAGCAAACGCCGGTCCAGACAATGACAAAATATTATAAATGAATCGTGTAGGGCAGGCACTTCAATATCGGTGAAAGCAAGGGGGAAAAGCAGTGGAAAAATCGAGGGGAAAAATCAGAGGGATAGGTCTATATATAGCGCTGCAGCATCTATCCCTTTTCCACTCGCCTGCCGACTAATTGTGACAATTCGGTCTCACGCAAATGGCATAATAAATGTTGAGCAGAGGAAATGATGTGTGAAGTGCAGGCCTTTATCCCCCTTTAACCCACCACTACGCTTAACCCACTACTTCCCCAATCTCTCTCCCCCCAACCCAACAATCGATGACCAAGCGGAAGTGATTTTTGGTTTCAGCGCACGATTTTCTGTCAGCTGGAAATGCATGGAACAATGCTGATGCTGCCCCAGCAATTAGCCAAACTTTGCATACACTGAGGGAAAATTAAGGGGAATGCAAGGGAAGTAAGAAATGAAAGAAAACAGATTAGTTTGTCAAGTTATCTGAAATTTTTGAAGTCCTTATCTTGCTTTTATTACTACTTAAAATTGCTTTTCAACTTTAATCTGTTTTTGTTTATTAATTAAAATAAATTCCTTAACGAATAGTTTTTAAGCCATGTTTCTATAACCATTCTAAACCATTTTTGGTGACATATTTCTCCATGTGCTGCCAGAACCAATCACCCTTCTTTGTTTAGGAAGCAATTGCTGAACAATGCCAAAACAGGAAGCGGAGAGGAGCAGAACTCTTCTTTTTTATGGGGCATACCCTCGTAGTTTGAAGGACTGGCGGCAAATGTGCGGTTTCCTGCAACGAAGCGCATAATTGAGCATTTGGGGGAAAGTCGTAAATAATGCAAAACCCGATTGCTGGCCGACTGGCCGATGAAATAACCAAATCCAAATTGGATCCCTTCGAGTGGATGGCCTGCTAATTAGTCCCTGGGTCGCATTTTTGTGCCCACGAGCGATTTTGAGAAAGGTCACTGGGCAATGTGGCATGGGGCATGGGGCATGGGGCAAGGGGCATTGATACTTCCTATCTCGGGTCCCTGAACGCATAAATCAATCCCGATAACGGTTGCGGCACGTGATGAACGCTGGAATTTTTATTTGGAACTTTGTACACTTTACGAGACAGCAATAAAATTAATATTTCAGCCTGTGTCAACAACTAATTGAGGCATTTTCTGCCGTTTTCCTTCTTTCTCATATATTGCAGGGCGCAAGCTGGAAGCGGCATATGAAGTAATTAGAAGGCGTACTAAAATCGCCCATAAACGTCAGAAAGACAAACATTTTCGCGGAAGAACAACTGCAAGACATTGCCAACGACTTTTTCCAGGCAACATGTTGCCGACAGACACCACCACCATCAGCAGCAGCAGCAGTAGCAGCATTGGCAGCAGCAGCACCAGCAGCAGCGACAACAGCAACATCAACTGACAGCAGCAACATTCGAGCATTCAGTCGCAATTCTGACGATTGCGTGACGCGTTCGCATCGCGGCAATGAATGAGATAGAAAATCTCAAGGCGAAAGAGAACGAAACAGTGACGAAGATAACGTGCAAAGTTTAAATTGAAAATAAACAAGAAAACAAAACAAATCGAAATACGTAACAAAGTGTGTGCCAACTCTGAGAGATATTTTGGAAAATAAATTAGAATAAATTACGAAAAGGAATTTCGGACACTGAAAGACTTCAGGAATAATATAAATTAGCATAATTTAGCAAGGATTTGCCGGGACAAGCAGACATTCGTTTCGCACTTAATTAGTGTCTAAGAGCGTTGACAATGTGGCAGACACTATCAACTTTTAGCACATCACTCAGAGTGCTAGCAACAGCAAGAGGAAGAGCAGGAGCAGGAGCAGAAACACCAGCAACTTGCAACTGTGGCAAGTTGGAAAACGCGGAAATGCAAAGTCACATGTTGCCATCATCAGCAGACATCGCGACAACAGCAGTGCGTAGGTGTTGCTGTCGCACAAAAATCACCCGCAGCAGCAAAAACAGCAGCAGCAGCAGCAACAATAGTTGCAACTATTACAGCGGCAACATCCTGCAATGGCTATTGCTACTGTGCCTTTTCTGTGGTAAGTAGAAACCGGCAAATGAGCCATGGTCGAGTGCAGTAAGTGACTTTTAACAAAACGCGCTTAAATGTCTCTGATTTAGTGCGCCACGCCCAAGGGGCAAAACTTGTACGGCAAAAAAAAGAACATAGAACCCGGGGATAAAGTAGAGAAGACAAACCGCCAAACCAAAGTGATATAGAGATGTGCTGAATGAAAAAAACTGCTGCAGTTTTAGCCCTTGAATAAGATATACAGGGGGAGAGTCGGAAAAAAATAAATAAAAACGCTCAACACAAATCAAGATGAATTTCCGTGCATTTTTGTGCAGATTTCTGTACAGCTTTAGCCAAAAAAAGAAAACAAAAATAAAATCACACAGAGAGACAAACACACATGGCCAGCCAAAAAAAAAGGAAACCAACACACAACGCTTGGTTTTTGGGTCCTGTTTTTTCGCTACAACTGCCACAGCAGCAAAAAATGGCTAAACAGCAAAGAAAAACATTTGAAAATAGCGCCAAGAAATGGAAGAAGATTAAATGGTAACCGAGGGGGGTAAAGGGGCGGTACGTCAGCGCAATATAAATTGACTCGTGTTTTTCATTTAAACGTTTTTGGCCAACCCTCACTCCCCCATATCCATCCCTTTCGCTTTTTGCTGCCTTCAATAATTCGACTGCAGCAGCTGCAGTTGCTGCCACTTAAACCTGAAATTAACTTTGGCCCAGGAAAGTATGCAGCGAAGAAGACGGAACATGGCAAATCGGGGTACGTGCAACGTCCATACTCGTATGTTCTGTACTGTACCGTACTATACCGTACACTTGTGGCTCGGCTGGCTCTGGTTTGCTTTGCTTTTTTCGTGGCCAGCTTTTTCTCTCCCTCTTGGCTCCTGTATGGCTTGATTATTTCGTTTGGAATTGATGCTGCCATCAATTATAGAAAACCACAAAGAGGAGCCAGCAGACAGCAGGATGGGAAAAATGAATCCGGTTAGCAAGGCACCACAGTCATATGGTAGTACATGGAGAGAAAATTGGGCTAATTTGAAGCAAAGATTTAAAGATAAAGTTACATGTAAATTAATGAATAAAATTTAATGCGCTAGCTTCATCAGTCAAAGACTTTACTTTAATTATTATTAGGATTTACTCCTTCGAAAAAAAACTATAAATTACTTACCCATCAATACATCGTAAACCAAAAATGGAATGCATTCAAAATATCTATAAAATGTTAATCCTTCAATTTACCAGAAACTTAATATTCATTAAGCATAATCGCAGATCGAATTACCAATTAGTTTAGTACAGAATTTCCCTATTTTCCCGCTCAGTGTGAACCAAGAGTAATGGACAGCGTGCAATTGAGTTTCCATTGCCGCTGGCTGATTGGATGGTTGGATGGCTTTAAAGCCATCGCTTTGTAATCGATGGCTCTGCAAAAGCGCTGGCCAATGCTAAAATAAACCGAAATCAATTTGGTTAAGCCACCGCCTGAAAACAGAGAGGCAGACCGACCGACCGACCGACCGCCCACTTAACTAATCAGGATAAATAAATATTTATAATTAATTTAAAATATAAACAGCCAGGCGTCCGGGCAGTGCAATTAATTTTGGCTAGTTTTCGGAGAGGGAATGAGGCCTAAGGAATGGAAAATGGGATAGAACGGAGAGAGGGAAGGCTAAAACCAGAAGCGGAAAACTTTCATTTTGATAACAAGGCAAACAAGCAAAGTGCTCAACGCCCAAGATTCGGGCATATGAATAAATGACTGAATGCATGAATAAGCAATCAACAATAATGGCCCCGAGATGCCGAATCCGGCAGGGGGTTTTCGGCTGAAGTGGGTTGGCAGGGGCTAAAGGTGAGTGGTTTGAAGATGGGGATTTTATGAAAATATATGCACACAGCGCCGAGGGGAAGAGATGGAGGAGTTCAAGGCATTCAACGTGGCCAGTTGGCCATGGTCAAGTGCCACGAAGTGCGAATGGGATGCCCAGCTAATGAGCCAAGTCATCAGGTGTCGACCAAATGAGGTGAAGCAGTGGGTGGCTGCTCAAGGTGGTTAAAGGTAACCCCCACTAGGTGGTAGCAGTGGTGGAAAATAAGAGGAAAAGGAAAGTGCGTGAGCCTGCGCGTGCTTAATGAACTGCAATCAATGGCCACGGCGAGTCGATAAGGAACCTGAAAGCCCTCAGATTGTGCGTGCAACATGGCGTTGGCCGCAAATGCACGCAGTCAAAAAAATGCTGTTAAGAAGATATTTACAGAAACTTTAAAATTTTGATAAAAATTCTCAAAAAATAAAGAATTTTAAAGAATAATTTCAGTATTTGAAGTATTTAAAAACACTAACTAAAACCTTTAAATATTTAAATTGCAAAAATACAAACAGAGTCATATTATCCCTTTTAGGAATTCATATATTTCACATCAAACTCGTTAATTCGGTTTCCGAAATATAAACTTAATCTGAAATGTAATTATATAACCCTTTTGGCTGAGTGCTTATCAGACAAATTGATAGCTAGTGATTTACAGAGTCCCCTGGCCAGGTTCGGGCATTAATTACGAACATTTTGTGGAAATTTATTTAAACCAAAACACCAAAAGGGGCAGTCACGTGCAGGAAAAGTTGGGCAAAAGCAGGGACATGGCCCACACCGTTTTGGCTTGCGTGAATTGGTTTTGGGCGTGAAATTGCTTTCAACATTTAATTACAAAAGGTTCGTGTGGTGGTTTATTTCTGGCTCATCACCGCTCTACAACTACGCTGCAATTTGTTATCAGAACCCAAACACGCACCTCACCTGCGGATTGGCTGTTGTCTTTGTTCATGTGTGTGTGTGTGTGTGGATAAATTAAAGGGATTACCCCAATAAGAAGCTGAATGAATGTGAGTGTGTCTGTCGGGCAATTAGCCACAAAATCAATTTTACACAAAACCCAGCCAAAGTAATCAACGCCTCGAGCTAGAAACAAAAGCGAATCATTCCAATCGGTTAGAACCATTATCGATTGAAGGCTCTGCCAAGGTGCTTATATTGAATTAAGCTAGACATGTGTGAACAAAATAATAAACCACAACAAGAGGAGAAAACAACTATTATATTGTCAGCAATAATGGTAGCACCATGTAGCTTCCTTTCTTTGCGCCAACTGTGTGACATAAAATATAATTGAATTGATATGATATGAGGCATTCGGAGTGGCATCCTACAGGCCCAAACAACAATGGCCACCCACATGGCTGACATTCATTTTTATGTTTATTGGCCTTGCCATGCAAATGCGAAGCTCAAAAGTCGGAGATGAAAGTCCTATGTATTATACGAGTATATATAGTCAAAGACGTAAAGATGTGGAGTCGAATCTGATGCCACATGTCCTGGGACAAGCTTATTGATGACTGTTGGCCAAATGCAGAAATTCCTTTGTAAAAGAAAGGCGGTCCTGGTCCTGAAGTAACAAAAAAAGAGCAGAAAAACAGGGCAGACAGAAAATATCTGCTTGGCTTGTTGAATTATTTCATAATTAATGTGTTTTTCGAGATGATAAAAAGTTATTCTGGCTTATTCTTAAAATAATTTAATATCTATAAGTCTATTTCCTTGACTTTTTCAATGCAGCAAATAAACTTTGTTAAATATAGAATCGGATTAAAGCCAAACACAGCCAATTCCCAACAGATTGTCCACATTATGATTCATAATTAATCACAATCTAAGCATCTCATCATTCCAGATAAAAACACCCTTTTCTGTCCCTAAAAATATAATTTGTCCTGACGACTTTGAGTACATTAAACCCCACTAAAACACACACCAAAACCAACACACAGCTGGACTGTAGGAATTAGCAATAAATGTTGGCCAAAAATGTTAGTTGAATGGCAAGTTTTCATAACGCATAAAAACTATAAAAAACTTTTCAGCATTTCAATTCATAATTCAACACATAATTATATCATGCCGGCTTTGTCTATCTCTGGTTGGACACTCTGTTTCTGTCTCTTTCTCGTAGTTATGTAGCACTGTCTCTGTTAGACTTTTTGGTGGACTGTAGACCAAGCGAAATATGTCAGAAACTTTTCAAAACTGTAACAGCGCCAATTTGTCTACAAAAACGTTGACCGTCGACCACTCACAATCCCCTAAAACATTTTCCCACCCACTTCAAATGTAATTTCAACGCCAATTTGGTTGTGAAAATTTATGCAAATATTTCCATGCTCTCTCTCTCTCTCTCTGTCTAATATATATATATATATATTCCGCTGTAGTTGCTTATGCATTATGCTAAATAATTGCGAACATTTTTTTGCTCGTTGCCAAAGTTATACGTTATTGCTGGTCCTTTTTAGTATTTTGCGAGCTGAAATATTGCGTTAATTATCATGAAATGCCACAGAATATGAAGATATATATATAGAGATATATATATTTTGCCCAAAGGCGTCTGTATCTGTTTGATCCTGTTTGTGTGTGTGTGCAACCACGCAATTTATATTTTTGTTAATTTTGTCCATTTTTGGCCACGCGTAATTACATGAAGAATTCATGCGTAAAATTTTGTTATTGTGTTTGGCGTCGTAAATTGTTTAACTTTTAAACATTTATTGGACGTTGGCTGTTGGAAGCTCAAAAAATAAACAAATTTTACTACAGAAAAAGAAGAGCGGGAAGTTTTTTCTGGTTAGAAAGAAATTGACAGAGCAGCTAGGAACACAGAAGTTGGAAACTTAAATTAAATATTTAAAAGGGAAAAACGGGAGCCTTGAAAAATAACAGAAAACTGAATTGCAAAATATTTTAAAACTCGAAATATATTTTCTTTAAAAAAGCTCCTTGGAAAAAACGCTTGAAAAGCTTAGCCAGCAGACAATAAGTTAAATTAGTTTTGGTAGTAACCCGTATCTCGCCTTCTCAACGTTCTCTCTTGTTCTTAGCGTCTGCCTGTCTTTATGACAATAAAAATATTACCCATAAATTATCGCAAGTGAGTTCATCACATGGCTTGCACAATCCCGCTTTTCCCACCGATTTTCATTCACTCCAAGTGCCCCCAATTCGCATGTCTGCGAAAAGTTCGTCTGGCTTTAGTTTACTAACAGCTGTTCCCGTTTCTCCTTTCCCCCTTAGCCTTTACACTCCAGCCCTGAGATAGGGAAGGGGGGCGTGGGAGGGCAAAGGACCCTCCTTCTAAAACCCATTCCCTTGCATTTACCACGCTCATTTGTAACTAAATCTGGGCGAGTGCCGTGGCAAAAGTTTATGAGTGTGCGGGTTTTTCTACATATGCCAAGGGCGTAGTCACGGAAAGTGCCAAGGGGGTATGAGCCACAGACTTTATGTGAAAGGCAGTCATTGAAAAACTATGTGAAATACTTATTAAATCAGTTTTAAGTGCTAATCCATTGATTAATTCGCTGATATCGAGGTAAAGACAATTATTTCACATTCTGATTAAGTACCATTGAATTTTCCGACATTTTCTACAAAGGGCTCCCTTCTTTTCCGTAAAAAGGATAAAGAGAATTCCATCCCCCTTCATAACAACACCCCTGGCACGCAGACACGCATACTTGCGCAAATATATGAGTGTTTGTGCAACTGCATATTGTCATAATGGTGAATGCATGATATATTGAATTTTGCAGTCAATAAACGTTTTATGATCACAGCTGCACATATTTCACAATTTTCCTCTCGTTTTTCCACAACGTTTTCCCCTTTTTTTGTTGCCTCTTTTGTCCTGGCAAAGTTGCATAAAAGTTGATGTGGTGGTGAGGGGGTGGCGAGATGATTTGAGTGGGCAGAGGAAGATAAACCCGTTGAGGGCAATCGAAAAATTTAAGGTCATTATGTGAAGACATGCCGCGTTCTCTGGCTTCAAATCGGGCTAAGCCGGTGCCGGCTGACTGGGCCCCCAAGATTATACAGATCCCTGGCAATCCATCGAAGGGCCATAAAGTTCTTTTTGCCAGTTGCCAGACAAAATCACTGCTGACAAGAATTCATCATCGATGCCACTGCCTTTGGATTCTATTTTCATTCTTTTTTTCACCATTGGCATTTGCCATATGCCACCGTCCATGTGAAAGCCTGCAGGAGGCACTTCAACTGCAGAGGGAGGAGGCTTGATGTAAGGCTAAGCCCGGCCTAATTTCCAAAGGCAAATGGCCGCAGGCTCAAACTGCACAGGCTGGAGTGCGAAAAAAAATAGTCGACATAAAATGAAACGAAGACAACACAACACAGGAAGCTGTCGATGAAAATGAAGATGAAACAGCAGGAGCACTGTAGTAAAAGCAACAAGCCTAAGTCGAGCGGATATTGAGCCACGCCCACCAGGCGGGACGATGGGGAGAGTCCTTAAGAGGCAGTGGCAAAAAAAAATAACACCTAAATATTGGGAAAACAAATCTGGACTTACTTTGGTTTTATTTTATTTAAGTCAATCAAGAATCGTACACAATTTATTAGGATAATCCGGCTTAGATTTATTTAGTTAAAATGGAAGTTATTTAGTATATCAGTTTAAACATGCATTTTATTCTGTCTTTGACTGCTTGAAAGTGCAAAGAACTTTTCATGAAATGATTAGATACATGATATCCGCCAAACTTTCTCTTAGTTCTGAAATTCCTCACTTCAAAGCCTGGTTTTTCCCAGTGCAAGGACATTGATTATGCTGCGTTCCTATCACAATTTCTATTTGAAGCAAAACAGAGGCGGAAAAATAGCAGTGTTTCAGTGCAGAGAGCACCCAGAAGCTGGGGCACAAAAAATGGCAGCAAAGAGGTTTACAACTTCTCGTAAGGCGGCTTAAACGATTTGCGAGTTTATGGAAAGCCAAACACACTCTCATCGCAAACACACACGTCGAAGTCATATGGCTGCGTCTGTCTGCATGGGCATGAGCATGTGTGTGTGTGGGTGCCGAGGATAAGCGGCGGGGTCGGGCATATTGTAAAACAAATGGAAAATTGCTTTTTGATGTAGTCAGTCAACTTTGCCTTGCCGGCTGCCTTCTGCCTGCTGCCATCATCGACACTGACGATGATGGGAATGGAGCTGGAAATGGTAAATGGAAAATGGGAAAAAGGGAATGGAAAACGGCCAAGCGATCAAGATCAGTGCTGCAAGTAAGACCAGAAATAGAAAACTCTTGTCACAGTTTTACTGTTTAAAAAAACAAATAAAAAATTTCCAAGTTTAGCTAAATTAATAACATTTTTGGGGGAACCTCAGGACTAGGAGACTTTTTGACTTTAACCCTAGAAACCACAAGAATTGTGAAAGTTCTAATAAATATTTCGAAATATTAATAATTATTTTCAATAATAATATACCAAACTTGTCAATATCTACCAACAAAACTCAATCTGAAGTCGCCAACACTGACGAAAGACACAGATGATGGCCCCATTGTTTGGTTTTGGCTAGCAAGTTTTAAGGCTTTAAGCGCCCAAGAGTATGCTGCACTTTCAGCGGCTGCAACTCTTAATCCCATGGGGTTTATGTGTGAGAGCCAAGAAAAGGGCCACGCCGATGATGATATTGATGATGACGGAGGTGATGATGACGGTTATGACGATGGCACAGACACTGTCGCCAGATTCAATATTGCTTCACGCTCCTGAACGGCTATGCAAATGCGTGTGTGTTGAGCCAGGGCAGAAGGCTTTTAAAATAACAAAGGGTGCCGATAATTCTTCCCTTAAAATTGAGCCATATAGGCTGGAGGTCTTCTTTATGCACTCTAAGAAATCAAGGGCTCAATGCAAAAAAGGGTTTTAGAGGAATTAATAACTTGATCAAAAGAAACTCTTCAAAATTCTACCTTTTTAGTGTTACCTTTAATAGTTTATAATCAAAGCTTAAGGGAACATATCTATTTTTATCTTTTTCCTTGACTTTAAGGATTAGTTTTTACAACTTTTTCTATCTGTACTGAACACCAACCTTTAGGCCACAATGCTTCCCTTTGAATAAATCTCACCTCCCTTTCAGATTTTGGGCAGGCGGCGCTGCGTGATGTGAATCTACTGGTGGAACCGCCTGCGGTACGACGGGGTCAATCGGTAGCCCTGCGCTGCGATTACCAATTGGACGAAGCGCCACTGTATTCCATAAAGTTCTATCGTGGCCAGATGGAGTTCTATCGCTACACACCGGGCGAGTACCCACACACCAAGGTCTTTCAGTTTCCCGGCATTCGAGTGGACGTAAGTTGTTGCTGCCTTTACGAAGTTCGAGCTTATTGTTTGAAGGTGTGTTATGGTTTCTGTTGGTATTTTTGGAATTTTCCCCAACAGGAGAACGGCTCGAATGCCACCATGGTGCTCATCCGCAACGTTAGCTTTGGCCTGTCCGGACAATTCAGCTGCGAGGTTACGGCAGATGCACCACTCTATTCCACGGCCACCGCCTACGCCCAGATGCAAGTTGTTGGTGAGTATCTGCGCTTCTGACTATCTAAGTATCTGACGGCAACTCACGGGCATCTGACAATGACAAACAGATCCTGTCTCATTAGTCGCCAGGCAAAGGCGTGACTGGAAAGTGCAGTGAACAATGGGCAGAGATGCGTCCTTGTCGCTCCACTGCCAGCAATTAAGAGACCACCAAAGTCGTGAATAAACACTTGTGCTCTTGGGAAGAATTGAGATTTAAGGAAAGGCTAGCGGGGAAACTATTCGTTAAGAATTTTCAGAAAGTAAAAGAAAGACTTAACAATGAGCAGTATGGCATTCAGTAACCACAGACACTAATTTTGGATTTCTATCAATCAAGATATATTTATAAAAAGAACCACGCCTTTTCTTAGCTTTATATAATTTTTGTATTTTTTTTTAATCGTCTAGAATTTCCAGAAAAGCGTCCGCAGCTTTTCACAGAGCACACGAGATATGAGCCCGGCGATGTCTTACGGGCCAACTGCAGTACATTGCCATCCCGTCCTCGCGCTGAACTTCGTTTTACCATCAATAATATTCCCGTAAGTACCAACCATTAAATAGATTATAAAAAAATGCATTTAATATTTAAACAAAAGTGACTATTATAAGATTACGTGTTAAGATCCTGGGGATCAGATCTATATAAATTGTGAGGAGCCCTTTGGGCAAAACGCTTTACAATCGGCAATTAAAATGTCTTACATCATGCCGTGCATTGATTGTTAATTAATGTCTGGCTGGGCCAAGATGTTTTGGGCCAAGTGCGTGGGGGATTTGCCTAATTAAACAGCTTTGACTTGCCTAACGGCATCATAAATCCCTTATAATAGCACCCCCACCACTCTCCGTTTTCTGAGGCAGCATGTGTGGCTTTTCGGTTAATCCACGGCGACGTGCCTCACAAAATTTGTTCTTTATTTATGAATATTGTGTAATTTAATCAGAGCCAAGCGACTGTATTACATGCTGGGTCTCTCATCTTTCCTACTTAATTAAAAATTTCAAGTCGAAACCCAAACAAGAAACCGCAGGGTGAAGGATATCCTTACGGGCAAAATGAAGTCAATAAAGCAAAGAAAGAAAAGGGTTGTATGCCAGGATTTTGATTTGATTCTCAGATTTTCCCCTTTTTGTCATTTATCATAACGATGTGGAGGAGAGGCTTAGAGCCTCAAGTCATCTGCATATAAATATTTATATATATATTAACAGCTAAGTTCACAATAATAGTGACAAAGTGAGATTATAACAAAATCAAAGTATTTTTGTGTTAAAATCATTTTTGTAGAATATTTCAGCTTTCTAGGCTACTAGAAAAATCTTTCATGCCTTTTTAGTTCTAAAAATTGGTTCTTAAAATTCAGAAAAATAGTATATAGTAGATTGAGTGCTCTATTGAAAACTTAATATATTTTACAACTCGATTTCTATATTGTTGACCTTAACTGTTCATATACATATGTCCACAATATGAGTCTCGGGCATCATTAGTCATTCGAGGGCGCTTCCAGATGTGCATCAATTCTGCGAGTGCCGCTAATCAGTTGCATAAATCAACAAGGAAATGCTTTCGGCAATCGTTTTAAAGCAATGCCAGATCCCAATTCCTTTGACCTAAACCCGAAATCCTTTTTTTTCCTGTTTTGGTTTCCTTTTTTCTTTTGGCCCGAAATGTTATTAATCATAGCCGAGACATAAAATAAATTACGTTCAACTTGTGGCAAAAACGAAATTGCCGGACGGGCCTGTGGACAAAATGGCCAAAGGACAAAGGACAATGGACAACGGACAATGGACAACGGACAACGGTTTTTAAATGAATTTACGAGATGAACAAATTTTCAGTTGACACGCCCGCTGAACGAATTCAACTTTTCTACGATTTCCCAGGGTGCGGGCAAAGCAGGAAAAGCAGCTAAGCAAAGAAAAAAAAAACACACAGCCAAGAAGAAAACTTATTAAACGCTTCATAAATTTTTATATTATGTCTACCCACATCATCAGACATAACGTGTCCTCCTCTGTCCGTCTGCTTTGTTTCTCTCTTTTCTATTTTCCAACTGTGTAGGTGTGTGTGTGAGTGTGCCAGTGTGTTTGTGTCTTATCCTGTCGTTTTATATCTGTCGACTGTAGTCTACTTTTCGGGGATCTCACACACACATGCTACCAGCGCTCACATGCAGGCCGTTTAACATTTTATCTAGACTTCTTCGCAGCCAACTAATGACAAAAGCCGAGACAAAAGTACGCCGCTGTGTTTGAGGATTGCGAATAGTGGGTCCCCGTCTACCCGTCTGTCTCATAAAATTTTATATCTACACAGGGGAAAAATGTCAGAAGAAATATAGAAAAATATTTACTAAAATGATATTGGGATCTAAACCGTGTGGGAGGCTAGCAAAAACCAAAGAAATACATTAATCTATAGTAATTTTAAGTTAAATATATTAAATATAAATTTATTATTTATATTATTTAATGACCAAAACTGTTAGACATTCTGAAAAAGTTTTAAATATTTATAAGACACCACAAGATTTTGCCTCTGTTTGCGGTGTTTTTATGCCAGCCAAAGAAAACAACAAGCTGGTATGGCTAAAGGATGGCATCCATTTCGGTGGCAATGGCTGTGCAATTTAGTTTCATATGCCCGAGCAGTAGATGCCTTTTTGATATTGAATTATGATCTGGCCGGCGGAGCTGTTTTCGCTCTTTAAATTAGATAGAAGCAGGCCAGGGATAATACTCTGTCACACAAAACAATGCCATAAATAATTCCGAGCTGAAAGCATTGACCCAGCACGTGTTGAGTTCGAGATTAAAGCTTTCTAGATATACTCTATATTCTTACCCACATGTCTGTGTGTGTGTTTTTGACCCACTGCGTTAGGAGGGGAGGCGAAAAAGAAAAAAACTTTAACGACTCACATAATTTGTTAAAAAGTTTCTGTCATATTAATGGAAAAGTAGCTCAAAATGTGTGGGGTTTTCTCTATTTTTTGCGAACCTTTTAGCCGTGTTTCCTTTTATGTGGGTGATTCGAAGGGAATTAGTTGAGATTAGGGCCAAAGTCTGACCATTCGACGTGCGGATTTGGGCGGCCATCGATTTTTGATAAATTATTTATTGAGCAGAGAAAACTAAGGACATAATTAAAGCTTGGCTTACTGATGATTAATGGATGGCTCAGTCCTGGCAAAATCAATACAAGCGACTCCGAAATTAAGGCTTTAAATTAAGGAGATTTCAGCTAACTGAAAATAACAAAATGAATTTGGTGAAACATAGAAAATGCAATTTGACATTGTTAAGGCTAAGATCAGGAATATATATATAGGCTGTGTTTATTTTCCACACAATTTGCATAATCCCATCTAGGCAGAAATTATCAAGGCAATATTAATTGCCAGGCCATCAAAATAGAGTTTTGGCCAGATAGGAGAACCCAAAAACAGAAACGCAAACACAAACTTTCTTGTTTGAAAACAATTTGCTGGGCCAAAAATGTTTAGGCCAGCAAATGGCAAATGGCAAATGCTCATTTAATTGCCCAAGAGGTTGAAGGTCGAGGGTTCCCGATGCCATAAAGGTAAATCACAAGAAATATGAGGGTATTTTCACTTTCGGGTCGCTGCCTCAGCCACATGCTTAATTAAAGCGCTTGGCTTCTTAAGAGTGTCTCGTAAATTACGCGGCATTAAATCGGCCAGAGCGAGATAGGCTATAGTATATAGTCCCCAATGAAAGAAAGAGACGGAAGAGGGCCAAAAAGAAAAGGACAGGCGAGAGGCAAGAGTGCGGCACAGGGCCTGAACTGAAAATGACTTTTTATGTCGCTGCGTCTGGGCTTTTCCTTTTGCCAGCATAAAAATAAAAATAAAATTCAAATAAAATAAAAAGGATAAGCCAAAAAACGCACAAAACCCAAAACAAAATGGGGGAGTATGTGTATGTTTTTTGGGCGAGATGCTGTTCGTAAAAAGGGTTAAAAGGCGACCAACAACAAAAAGCCAGCGAGTGCTCGGCAATAAAGCGCTTTTGCTTTTAATGTTGTGGGCGAAATGGTGGGGAAATGAAGGTGAAGAGATCCTTGAGAGAGCAGCATGCACAGGGGGAAATTCGGGTGCTAAAATTAAGGAAATTTAATATACAAAATTTTGATTTAATATCTATCTAAAAAGCGGTTTTAATTTGCATTTTTTATAAGAAATATTCAACATTTTATGAAAGTGAATTTGAATTTGGCGCTTTAACTTCTGTAAGCCCTTTCTCCCAGTGCATCCCCTTTGGCTGACCCAAATTCCGGCAAAACCCGTAATATCTTACACCTTTTTGTGTCTTGAAGGGGGCCAAAATACATGCATAAGTAAATGGCGCTCAAATGAGTTTGTAAGTGGAAATGAAATGCATATTTATTGTATTTAAATTGCCACCGAGTTTTCCGTCGCATCTTTTTCCACCGGCTAAGCTCAGGTTGTCATGTGAACTTTACTGTTGTTGTTAGTGAGATCAGGGGATTTGGTGAGGGTGGGGGAGCGATGAATCAGCAACAGGACATGCAGCAGAGCGGAAATGGCAGCACGAGCGTTTTTAAAATGGCGCCTGCATTTCCCGACAACCCGCCACCATCTTTTTTTTCCCGTGCAACAATGGACGATGCGCCATTTGCGACTAAAAGCATTGCACGGCAGTTTAGAGTTTTCTTTTCGCGCCAGAAAAGGAAATTGTGTGCGAAGCAAAAGGAAAACTCGGGCAAATGAAGCGGAAAGCTCGCACCGGAGTGTCGCATATGCATACAAAATATATATATTATATATATATATATGTATATGAGAGAGCATAAAATATACACATCAGCAGTCAAGCTTAGGCGGTGCCTCCTGCTGTTGGTGTCATGGCGGAAATGAAATTTTCAGCGCTCCTCAAAAGGCATCAAGTAAACAGTTTTCAACGGCCAAACAGCCTTCAGATGGACAGACACACACACACACAACGCATACACTCGAACAAAATGCCGGACACTTACTGGGCAAGGGATGGTACAGGGAAAAAAAGCCGAGGCAGCCAGGCGGATGAGTGAATAAGTGTCTCTTGATGTTTCTGTTGTTGCCACAGTTGTGTGCAACATTGAAAAATCGTTTTTAAATGGCAATGCCCAGTGGCAACAACAATCGTAACAACAACATGGCCAACAACATCGCCACAAACAACAACAAAAATATGACATACCCATGTCCGTTCGTTTCGTTCGCTTTCAGTGTCCGTTTCCTTGCCTCGCAGCTTCCACTGTGTTCTCCATGGCCAGACCTTAGCACACTTCTCTGATGCACTGAGCAAAAAGCTAACTTGATTCTAAACAATTTGAAGTCATTTCGTGTTAAAAATAATCAAAAATCCTTCCAAATCTCAGCTATTTAGCACCACATTTCTTGTTCCTTTTCTAGTAAAAATAATTCTTATAAAATCATCAAGTCTTTCTTTCAGTGTGCACTGGTCAAAAGATTGGTCACTGGCAAGCAGCCATGGCCGCAAGTGCAACATGCTTGTATTAACCCTCCACACACACACACACCTAACCTTATATACACAGACAGAAAAGGGGGCGAGTTGGAGTAACAGACAGACGACAAATTGCCATTCATATGCAGTTGCACAAAACTCGATGCGAAACTCTAGCACTTTTTCCACTTTTTTCTTCCGACCCCTCACTTGCTGCTGTTATTTCTGCTTTTGGCCTGCATGAGCTGGAACATTATTTTCGGACTTGTGTAAAAAGGGGTTAAGGGGTAAAAAGTGAAAAAGGAAGAGGTTGAGGGCGTCGGAAGCGGAAGAGAAAATCAGTTGCAACTGCAATTGCAGCTGGAAGCACGCCATGAATAATTTAAAGCATATTTTAGTCCATGTCCAGGCATTCGATTAGTATTCAAAGTGACTAAAAATTCAAACTATATTGTGGTTAAAGCAAAGCGATTGATTTGATGGTTTACTTTGGGGGAGATTTGTGATGAGAATTATGGCTTTTAGATGCTCTTTAAGATAAAAACAGAAAATATCTTTAATATTACATAAAAGACCTTTTTTTGTACAATTTCCCCTTTCTACTACTTTAACAACGTTTTTTTAATATTTCATTTTTTATAATGACGACAGGTCAGCACCGAGGAAACGCAGTACATTCGAACACTAGAGAACCTGATTGCATCCCGGCTCAGTCTGAAGCTGCAGCTGCAGGCGATTCACTTTGTGGCCGGCCTCAGTGCCCATGGAAATGGAAATGGTAATGGCAATGGAAATGGCAATGGCAATGGCCTCACAAACGCACTGCACCTGGGTGGCGGCGGAGGTGGTGGTAACGGTAACGGTGGAGGAGGACTCATCTTGCGATGTACAGCGCAAATTGGCGATCTCTATCAGGAGTACAAGGAAATCGAGCTGGGCACACCGCAAAAGGATCCGGTGCCGGCAAGAGGTAAGCCACAAAAGCATAACTGCCGACAGCCACGAGGCATAGAAAGAAAATTTGCCTCCCTGAAGTAGTAAAGATTTGAGATTATTTTCTGACAGAGGCTTTTGAAATACTTTCTTTCCTATGACAATACTAAGTTATGGGCTTTTTGAACACAACTTAAATTACCCAACTTAATCCAACTTTTATTTCTCTCTCTGTAAAAATGCATCTGATTGGTCATTGCAGTGACGCTGTCGTCGGGAACCGGACTCCGTGGCTTCTTGGAGACCTATTTCGCCACATCTTCGGCCCAAGGCAATTGGCGGGCGGCGACGAGGGGCGTGGCCATCTGCCTGGCTGCCATGTTAACCCAACTAATTACTGGTAGCTAAATCGAGGAGTCAGTCGGCCGGAATACATGGATGGCGAATGGGTGTGTGTATGGCTTATCGAACAGCGATGGAAATTAGGGAGCCGTCGGCCGTAAACTGCATTATTTATCTATATCGAATGCAATTTAAATTATACACACACACACACATAGAGAGACAGTGCACACAGATGAGAAGTCCATGTGATTCCCGGTTAAGCTCTCAAATGCACACACATAAACCCTATGAAACTGTAAATATTTGCTTTAATGATGTGAACGGATACACTTAAATGAACTCGCACACCCACACCCACACTCACACACACACACATACATACATACACGAACACGCGACTAATTGTTAATTAATGGATTATTTAATGATGCATAAAATATTGGATAAAATATTAATGTTTCATTTGCATTTAGCTTCAGCCCAAGCGAATATCAACTTAATGTTTAAGTGAAGTAAAAAAAAAAAATTAAATCGTTGAAACGATTGAAAAAAGTTTAAAAAAAAAAACACATAAAAATGTAAACAACTGAAATGCCAATGTCAAGACAAAACCAAAACCAAACAAAAACATTCAAACCAGAATAAACAAGCAGTAATAATCAACTTGGTGCGGTTTTTTTTATTCATTTTGGGATTTCATGGGTTAAAACGGGGCCTTAACAAATGGTTTTTTACATTACATTTAACTTTAAAAAGGTTTGTAGGGAGGTCATTTAATATTTAGTTTTTGTATGAAGTTGAAAATAACAAAATAAAGGCAATAAAATCTTTAAAACTGGCTTAAAAAAACAATTTTTTAAACACAAGTTTGGTTATTAAATATTTCAAATATTTTAATAAACAATGCTACAATATATATATTGTATAAAAACACCCTTTCAGCCTCAATAAAAGACTTCCCCAGCACTTTTCTGACACAAATAAAAACGCTGAAAAATCCTTTCCAAGCTTTTCTCATCGATTTTTAGGCACCCGTTCTTTGGCAGATTAAACTGAAATTTCTAAGTGACACTGCCGAGCTCAGCTGATGACTTTTTCTATCGAAAAGAAAAGGAAAACCAAAAAGTCCTGTCTTTCCTTATCACTTAATGCTGACAAGTGAAACAAATTCGATTTCCAACGCGTTTTCAGCGCGATTTTAAACGCCACAGCGAGTTGGGTCTTGGAAATGGTGCTGCATAGTTTTAGGCCGCTGTCGTTAAATAAACTGCTTGCTGCGAGGGCGACGGCAAGCAGTGCAGAGTAATGCAATTAAAATCAAATATATACAGAGGCCAACAGCTCACCATTTTAGCTTTGCACTTTCCCAAAAAGTCATTAAAAGATAAAATCGCAAAATCAATTAGCCAGAAACTTAAGCTGGTCGCGACTCGGACTACAACTCTTTCTAGGGCCAAAACTGGCTGGGATCAGAGATGCTGACCTAGAGATTTTATAGCTAAAAAGGAAACTAACTAAAAATCGATTGTAAGTATTAAATATTTTTAGCTTAAAACAAATTTTATAAAAAATTGCACTTCTATTAATTTAAGCAGAAACTTACTTTTTAAGTTCAGATAAACCAGATTTCTTGAAAAAAAAAACTTCATTTAAGCTATTTGAATTTCGAATTTAGCTATTTTTTGTTCTGAAATTTTGCCAGAACTATTTGCTGCTGTACTGGAATCGAAGCGAAGACCGAGTTTTGGGCGCCATTTAGCCTGACCATAAATTGCAACACTTTTATCGCCTTCCCAGGCCCGCCTGCTGTTGTCCTTGTGTATGTGTGTGCCCGCCTATTTTTGCCTTTCCCTCTGCTGCTGGTTCTTCTTCTTCTGACTTTGCCGCTGCTGCTGCTGCACAGTTTCCGATTTCCGTTTCCGCTTTTGCGGTGGCCGCCTTGAAACTGGTTTTTATTTGCCGCACACTCGCTCGGCTCGATGCCTGCATAAGTGGGCAGAAATCAGCTCCTCCACTTGGCCACAAAGTTTGCTGTTCGCCGTTCGTTTGGTTTGCTTTTTTGGCAAACGCATTTTTTCATTACTTTTCAACTGGCCGGAGGCCAAAATGCCAGAGCTTCGTGGCCAATGGGTGTTGGATACTGGGAAACTGGGTATACTGGGCAAATGCCTGATGGTAGATGGCAAATGCATTTGCTTGCATGTTAACGGAGGCTGGGATGCCACTTCCGCTGGTCGCCTCATTGGCCACGCCCTCAGATTCCCAGAACCCCATTTTCAGGCGGAAAAGTCTACTACTATATACACCCCGAAAGTCAGCCAAAAGAAGGCAAGGCAGTGCATGAAATACTTTTATGCAATTGAAACGAATTGCGAAAAAATGATTTATGCCACAGCATTAAAGCCCAAATTGGTACTGGCCAGAGGGGGAAGTGGCCATGATGTATTGTTATGCGATACGCTTTATAGGGCAATCGCTATGATAACATTATCCAAATATATGGCAGAGTAAAAAAATTAAGAACTCAACTGTTGGTAAGTCAAATTGCAGTTCAGTGGCTAAAACCGAATTATTTATGAAAAATGTTTATGGGTTCGAGGAAAAATGTTTATAAGTGAAAATTTACTGACTTCAAAGAGTAAAATTTTTGTTTAATTTATAGAGAATTTATTAACGAATTCCTATTTTTAATCAATATTTTAATTATAAATTTGGCGGAATAAAAACTACGAGCTTCCTGGAACTTAGAGCAGAAGAAAGCATTTTTATTACTCGAGTGCCCCATGGAGAGAGATCTCGGTGGGCACTCAGTGTCAGTCTGGGGCAGCTCATTACAGGTCAATTAATTAATTGAAGCCTGCCAAATAGCCGGGCCAGGCTGCCAGCCAATATAGCCATAAAAGTGAATGGCCAACAGAGAACGGAGACCAAAAACAGGGGCCCAGAAAGAGGCATGGCCGGTTGACCAAATGAATTGCCATAATCACTGAAGCAACAGCAGGAGCCACTCACCAATCGAGATAGAGGTAGAGGAGAAGCCGGAGGAGCAGTAGGAACAGTTGGATGAAAATAGTCGAAGGCTATCGGAGGAAATAGAGGAAATATGTGGCCATATGAGCAGGAAAATAGCACATGGAATGACATATTGGCCAACGGATTTGATTCGCCTGGCCGAGTTCATGGCATTTGACCATGGTCATTTGAATTTGACTTTTAATGCCCAACGAATCTGTCAAAGCCCAGAACCCCCCTCTTCACTCTTTTCTCTCAGTGTTGCTACACAATTGCTTCGTTAGTGTTTAAAAACAGAGAGATAGCATTTCCATTTACCATTTCCAAATGGAAGGCTAAAACCTTCAAATTTAAGGATTACGGACATGAAAATGGAGTTTTAATACGCGAATCCATTCTTATGGCCAACACTAGCAACTTTGGTAATTCAGCTAGGCCCATACATTAGCATAAATTTGTCCAACCATTGTCGTGGCCTGATTCCAGGGGCATGTGTCAGGACCCGATTGATGCCATGAATATTTTATTAACATCGGCACGCTTCAACTTTCGACCTCAAATCGAACATATATAAATTGCTTATATATATAATTGAGGGCAATATTATAGCAGTTTTATGTTGAATGAAAATAATATATACATTATATAATGTATATATTAGCAAGACTTTTATGGATTTATCTTTACTTAACTTGAGTTTATAGTCATTATTATTTAGATACTTTTTTTCCCAATCAAAATTCAATGTCAAGGTAAACAAATCAAGGAATCCCATTAAGTTTTTTTTAATTTTTCATTAAAATACTATATTTTTGTCCCTTACTGTAAGTTAGAGACATATGATAAGAAGGGGAAGAAGGCCATGTAATTCCGCCAACTGAATTGGGGAAAATGAAATTTTCGCACGAATTTGCATTGCATATTGTTCGGCGCTTCTACGTGCACTTCGCTGACAAATCGTCATTAATAAAGCCTAGATGAGTGAGTGACTGACGGGTGCTATTTTTTTTCTCTGTATGCCAGGAAGGTAGCAGATTTGTGGGCGTGGCAACAATGGAGGTTCGTTAGTGCTGCAACAAACCTGGCGAACGCCAATCAAAATTCAATTTATTTACGCACACAATTTGATTTTGATATTTTTCACGCAATTTTCGCTGGATTCCTTTCACGTTTTTATTTTATGTTATTTTTTTCTGTGATGTGACTACCTCTGTGAAAATGAAATTTAATTGCAATTTGCTGGAACAACACAAAGAAGAAATTAATTATGGGTGAACTAAAATGATAGCTAATAAGCATTTCCGGCAAAAACTAAAAATTTAATTAATATTCTGGTACGAACAAGAAATTACACGACATAAATTCCGATGCCAAAAATTGCCACCCAGCTAATTACCTAACATAATTTATTTTAATTGTTATCCAGTAAAATAAAAAAAAAAAACAGAACATGCACAGCAAGAAAAAAGGGGATAAATGTGTGGGTATATTATCGGGGAAACAACTAATGTAATATATACTTAAATACACAACGATTTCGTAGTTGTTTTGTGAAAAGTTAAATGTAATTTAATAAACCGAAATTGCGCATTTATGTCGCTTGTTTGTCCTGGCAGCATACAAATATCAATGTATATATTTGCTCTAGTAATTTGCATTTAATTCCGCTATATGCAAATTTTAAATTATATGCCAAGTGCATATATCTCCATATACATAGCATATATATATATACGATTGTGGGTCTTTAATTAAACAGGCATAAATACGCAGATAAAAACGCAGACCTGATCGCTCCCAGTTGCCACAGAAGCCGCAGCCTTTAAGCGCCGTTTAAACTCGCTGGACTTGCGGCCCATCAGCAGCCTGTCAAACGGAAAAGCACTTGTGGGCCAGCTCGCCGGGGGACCTGGCCCAGTCATTTGGATAGCAATGGAGATGGAGATGAAACAGGAGATGGCGATGGAACTGAAAAGGTGATGGAGATGGCGGTGCCGATGGGGTGTAATCAACAGTTCAGCAATTGGACAGCCAACCAAGTGGTTAAGGCAACCAGGCAAGGTGGCAGCATCAGTAAACATGCATTATTGACTGACTAACCATGTCAAAGTTATTTCAGCTTAAAAGTTAAGTTACTGCCTTAAAAAATATTATTAACTTGAAATGCTTCTACAAAATATTTGTTTTTTTCTATAAAATATACTTTTCCTTGAGATTCTTAAAAGAAAATAATGTTTTTCAGTTATCCAGTCACTGACTACAAAGTATATATTGCAAGGGAAATATTTTCAGTTTTGGTATTCAAGTGGAAACCCGACCGAAAATCAGTTAACTGATATATAATGGCATCTCCATGGCCGTTAAACAGACGGAAAAAAGTTGCATTTCATCCGGCACTTTGTCATAATTGTTGAAATGCAATCGTCCGACGACAAGTGTTGACAGTTAATGCACGCAAAGCTGTCAGCCAAACGAAACCAAAGGTCCGCGAGCCAAGCGAGTTACTGTTGTTGCAGTTGCAGTTGCAGCAACTGATGATCCGCAGCCCTTTAAAGCTTTCAATTTGCACACCTGCTGGCGGTTGCACTGAGGGAAACTTGTGTACTTTTATAAAAATAAGTCACAAAGAGAGTAATTTTCATGAAAGTATTTTACTTATTGCATTGTTGTTTTATTTAACATGATTTATTTTACAAATAATTGAAAGATATGCTTGTTTCTGCCAGTGTAACA